CCGACATCCTATTATAGTTCATTCCCTTTGATGGCTCGGGAACTACGACTTCCACACCATGGCGGACTGCATGATAGATGAGTCACTGGGCCAAGCGTTTGGCACTATCGAATATGGTTGGTTTAGAAGACAGAACATCTACTTGGGTAGGGGCAGTTAGACCCCATATGTACCTTTCTATATTCTTTCTCTCTGGAGTAACCATATTCGGGCAGAGCGCTACCAGGTCGCATAAACTACCAGTGTTGGCTATTATGTCTGAGCCTATCATGGTATGCTCCCATAGTTCTTGTTCCAACTTTTAAACTTCGCCCCTCGGGCAGTATTCTTCCAGCATCAACTCTTCTAGGTTTTCCCAACCTATTGAGTTAGCCACTGATAGAGTTAGTGACTTAAAAAGGCTATTCCACCATGTTAGATCTTTGTTGGAGAAGGTGCGAGCAGCAAAATTGACTTGGCTCCCTTCTGGGCAGGAATAGATTTCGAAGACCGAATCTGTTTTCTCGAACCATAGCATCAGAATGATTACTCCTCCATCTCCATTGAAGGATTGGGGTTTGTAGCTCATGAAGTCCTTGTACGAACGGTCTCGTGGGTGTTCGTGGGTATCTCCGTAGTTGGTTGGTTGGTTAAGCACCGCTACCAGACCCACTAACACCACTTGTGCGAATTTGGGTGAAGGAAGCTACCGTTACTGATGTTATCGCTGCCTGGAAAGCAGCTAGGTAGAACTGTGGTGGCGGATTCTCTATCGTGTTGTTGACTATGTATTTCACTAGTCTACCACGAGGCATCTTTTGGTAAGAATACAAAGATGAGATGAGATAAGTTTATAGCAGTAGAGATACGCCGAAAGCAGAAAGAGAAGGTTATCCTAATTCTAAATGTATCGGGTCCTGACTCCTACAGGGTTCTGGAAACAATTCATAAAAGATTTTATACCGAATAAACATTATGAATGAGAAAGGCTATCCCCAAATGAATATCTTTTACCTGAATAACTGTTACCAGTTGCATGTAAAGCAAGTAATCCTAACACATAGGGTGAGCAGTGTTTCCACTAATGCATTAAGTTAAACAGGATTATTAGTTATTAGTGTGATGCATATGATGTTCTGGTTACTTCGACTGATCCCTCCTTGAGAACTTCTTTTGAAATTACTCTTGTTTCTCCTTGACTATATTGCATACTACTATGAGGAAGTGGTTACATCTATCTGGGTTTGTTGTGCAAGAATGGAAGTGTCTAAAGAATCTATGAGATTAAAGGTAACTTTATGGGGTGATCCTTATAGAGTCCTTCTATAATCGTACAATGTATACAAGTTGTATATAATTTAAGATTAAATAGGCCTTCGAATAAGTGATCCTACTCCAAAACCACAACCAAACAAGGAACAGGTAGTGAAGCGCAGATCACAAATTTTAAGTCTATAAAATCTCAATTATATAAAACCTTGGAAGTATACATTGCAAGATTATAGACCTATCCATAAGGGTCTTTTAAGTTATCACATAAGTTATTTATATAGTGCCTAAAATACTCCTATAGTATTTTAATGTAATGTACTCAGTATGTTCTGAACTTGTTATCGTGTTATAGTATCATAGAATACTCCTATAGTATTCTAACTTTCATGTTCTGATCTAAAGATCCTTTGTATATAGTTAGGTAAGTTTTAATATCGTTGCAACACTACATCTCAAATGAATATAGTTGATCATGCTATATTGATCCCAGTTACAATTACATAACTTCCTAGGTTTGACATCAGTATTCAACCTTTAAATACTTATGTTCTGTTCTTCTTGTGATAATTGTTCTAGTAAGTACAAGTATAAGCAATTCAGTATATTTTTATAACTCATTGTTATATTTTTAAAATATATCATTTTCCAGAGCGCTTAAGCCCCATTGTATTTATAGTTGTATATAGTTTATCGGTTGATATACTTAGTTCACTATAAACAACGCTCTGATACCAATATGTCACACCCCAAAACCGGAACGGTGGAAATGTTCGGGGGTCGAGGACGTCCTATTTAGTATCACAAGACATGCATCATAGTAAGAAAAGTAATGAGCAACCATTTCATTAAAAAGAAAGTGTTTACAATATGTGTGTTCACAAAACATAGAATACATAAGAAATAACAAAACAACACTTGGAGCTATAATGCTCCATCTTCTGAATTCGCAGCGCGAGTACCTGTCTACTAGTTTCCTAAGAATACAAGTCATTTGAAAGAGTTTATCAGCAATTAAGCTTGTGAGTTCATAATATTTTAGTGATGTATATAAGTTGTAAAATGTTGTTGAAAATGTAGTAAGTTGCAAGTTATATTTAGAAAAGTTCGCTTGTACCCCCTCAAAATCCTATATTTCCTGCTTTGATGAAAGATAAGTAAAAATGACTCTACAATCCTTTCTATGAGTACTAAATGGATACAAGTTCAATAAAACTCAGAGTAAACAAGCAATCAGTTGTGTGTATCTGCCCTAAGCCCACAACCAAACAAGGAACAAGGAGTGAGGCGAATGACACACATCTCATTGGTTGTTAAATCCTTGATGTATATAACCCTGGTGTATTCCCTTGGTACTCACGGAGTTAAATGTAATAGTTCCTTTATAATTAATGAAAAGATTCTTTAAGAAAACCCTTATTTCTTATAATAATATAGTAACCATAGTTGTTCCTTCTATAATAACTTAGTTTATACTAGCTATACATAATCTAATGTCGAACAGTTAGTTAATTGTGTGAATCTGCCCTAAGCCCACAACCAAACAAGGAATTGGGAATGCGGCGGAAGGCACACATCCAACTACCAATTGGATATTAATTATATATAACCTTCGATGTATAAATTAAGGTATTGTAGAGTTAACTACCTAAGGCCCTTTAAAATGATGCTTTAATAAAATGGATTAAACCATTTATTGGTAAGTTTCTAGTTTTGTATATCCAAAGTTCTAATTTTAAAAGTACGTTTTGTACTAGAAAATTGTGCATTGAATTAGTGTCCTATGACCAGACCCATACGTAGTACCTCTTATCATGACTTAATGTATACAGAACATATATATAACTAAACAAGGAACACGAAATGAAGCAGAAAGCACACATCCTATTACCTATCAGATATTATTAATATGTATCCCTTGATGTATACATTAAGGAATCATAAGGTTAGAATTATGGCCCCTTTCTACTGAATGTACTAGACCCAACTGTTCTGTTTGTGGTTTGAAAAGATGTAAGTTTTTCCCTAGTTTATAACTATCTTGACTTGAAAATAGTTTGCAAACTTTCAAGTGGAACTGTCACTTTATGAATGTAATGGGAAAATATAAGTACTCCGTTGTCTTATGAATTGACAATCTGACATACTAATTACCTTAAAACATATTTGTTTTATTAAGGTCATAATTTGAAGGCTACTTCCCATACTGAACGATCTCCCTATCAAAAGATTATGGGAACCAAACGCGACTTCAGCAAACGAGTTGCTAGATCGTGTAACTTCACACTAAGGTTATGTGATCACGTATACCCAATATAACTATCACCTTTTGTTTAGAACAATCCGATAGTGATTCATTGGTATAATTAGATCATGTAGTTGTCCCATGCTATAGCACCTTATTATGTTTGTTCTGTTATAGTATCTTAGTATGTTCTTTCTGTTATCGTGTATTGTATCTTCCTCCCTGTTTCTCTTTATTGTGTGTTCTCTTATGTTATCGTGTATTGTATCTAGTATGAACTAAAACTCTAAACTATACCCCTTATAGTTTACTAATGTTTTACTTGAACTAATATTTAAAAGACTCACTATAATACTAAGTTATGCTCGTACTTTAAAAACGAATTTTTGTTAAACTAAAAAGTAACATAACTTTAAAGAGTTTTTGAAAGGTTTTGATCACTTATAAAAGACATAAGTAACCTTTGAAAGATGTTTATAACAAACCATTTCACGATTATCAATTGTGTTCAACTTGCATCCCCCCCCCCTCTTAAAAGCATTTAAAATAGTTTAAAAGATTGATTACGGCGTATGAACTCACCTGATGTGGGTGATTCAACGTATATGTGTGTAAGGATGAGAAGTTCCACGAATGAAGTCTCGAGATACAAGAAGTCCTAAATTACATACATTGGCATATACTGACATAAATATAGTGTTTGGAAGCAACCAACTGTAAGGAAACACCTCACGAGACTAGGAAACACTTGGAATGAAGTGTTGAATCACATGTGATTCATCAAAGGAAAGTGGAATGGTACTCCCATGAGTTTACTACCATGGGTTTACGGCCAAAGGGATTTTACAGCCGTAAAGTCATGGTCAAACATGCATAAGTGTTTGTTTGAAGGCTAGGGAAGCTTGAGGGACTTTTGCTCTACACAAGGATGAGTTTATGGAGGCTTTTGAGGGAAGTCGGGCTCTTGGATAGGTTGTCCCCGTTTTTGACGAAAATGTTTATTGGAAATGGGTATTCATTCACTTGTTCTGGATGGCGCAACCTGTTTCGGATCCAAGAGCACGTGTATAAGGAATTTTGTGTCGAGTTTTTCTCAACAGTGATATTCTAGGAGATTGTCCAAGACCCGAATTGGCCACAAGCTTTGGTATTCCAGTTAGGGGGTGAGTATCGGGAGTACAGCCTCGTTGAATTCGCTTGGAGGGTTGGAATATATGATCGATAAGAGGCAATGACTCACGAATTTGGTATGTTCTTGAGCGAGGCAGCTAGAAGGTACACAGAGGGTGTCACTAGATATGCTTTCTGGCATGGTATTGCATCCAGGATTTTTAATTATGGGGTGTCTCTTGAGAGTAGTATTAGGTCCCCTATCCACCGTTTCATCACATTCTCCATCAATCATAGGATAAATGGAGATAAAGTAACCAAGAAAAATCTATTCTTCCTATGGTGTATCTTGCAGCCAGGAGTGTGTTGCAACATTCCTTATTTTTTGGCACGTTTTATGGCCGGATCAGCAGCTAGTTCTTGCACGGGGATCCCTATTTGTGGAGGGCAATTTATTACGTGTTTGGCACGCTCATATCATTTGCTTGTCCCTGATATTACTCGTTCTGTGACTTGTGTGGATGAGCATGATCTTGGCATGGGGTATTTGGAGACTATGCGGGTTGTCAGAAACTTTGGGTCGCATTGGGGGATAGTACCTTTCGATGATGAGGGTAATGAGGGTAATGAGCAGCCTGATACACAACCAGAGCAACAACCACAGCCATGTCCAAGGCGCAGAAACGTGATAGGAACAGGAGAAAGGGGTCAACCAATGCATCCACCCGCACCTATGGTAGGATCCCAAATTGGGGATGATATGGCGGGGTATTTTGACCAGTTATCATTCAGCGTCAACTGGATTGGGGGTACTACGGAGAACATGGTTCAGTTTTTCCATGTGGAGTAGCCGCCTCACCTTGGGTATCATTACCCAATATGCCCGAGGTGGACAGAGTATCGAGGACATGGAGGCAACGGAGCGGGCACTAGTCGGGTGAATGAGGATGACAAGGATGATTGATCGTTTATTTTAGTTTTATTATTTTAGTTTTATTTTGTTTCTATTTTATTTGTATGGGACTATTAAACTAGTAAGATATTATGCTACTTTCTTTTCTCTTTCTTGGTTGTTATTTTTCAACATTGTTAGGAGTGCATGCAAAGGATGTCGAGGTATGAGTGCATATGTTTTTAGCCAGGAGTGTTTGAAGTCGAGAGTCGAGACCCAAAATTTAAATTAAGTGTGGGGTGAGTCAAGCGAGAAGAAAGTTAGAGAGAAGAGTCATAATTAATAGGGTTAGAATTATCTTAATCGGTTAAGACATGGGGTTGAATATAAGAATTGAAAGAAAGATTGGAAGAAAAATATTTATGGGATTCCAGTTTTCACGTCGTGACATCTGTGTTATTCACCTCGTGAGTCAGTGTCTGGTGACTTTCCAGAACCCACTTCCAATCGAATTTACGACGTAAATCTTCATAAACTCACGTTGTGACTTTACCATTTTCACAAAGGAGTCTTATTTTTCCATATTCATTATGTGGTTCACCACCATTCTTTTTTTAATTGTTATGACGATAATCATGGCTCATATTCTCTACCATGCAATGTGGCGTATGCTTTACCACATTGTTCTGTTCATTTTTCACATTTTTCTCCACCACATTTGTTGAAGATTGAAGACTCGATTCCATATTTTGTCGGTACATTACTTATCTCGCGTGTTGAAGATCCAAGCTTATATTTCTCAAAGTCTATATTCAAGATGCACATTTTTTCCTCACTTTTGGAGATGATCACACCACTATCTCAGGGGAGTCTGTTCCTTTTTCTCCCTTCTCTTAATTTTTATATTAATTTAAGCATACAATGAGGGCATTGTATGAAATAAGTGTGGGGTAGGGGGTAGAAAAAGTAAATTGCTAGATAATTTGGTGGTTAATTTTGAAAATTTTAATAATTAAATCTAGTAATAATAATTTGAACTGTAGTTGCTAGTGTTATAAGGGATGATCTGATAAGAGCTCAAATGTTTAGTTGACCCAATACACGTTATAGTGCATTTGTGGCCTCCCTTATTTTAGTGAAATCATGGAACAAAAACATGACCCTGCTTAATTTGAGAAATGCAACATGTTTAGCAGCCTGAACCTGAAATGTATCCAGGAAAGATTGGTCTTAACCAATAAAGGTTGAAGTTTAGCGCCACTGCTTAAGCATGTAGGTTTTTGAGTGATATATATATATATATATATATATATATATATATATATATATATATATATATATATATGAGTCATACATGTAAAGAGAGAGAGAGAGAGAGAAATTATTAAAAATTCTTGAAGAATTTTTGAGCTATCAAAATATGAAGATCAAAGATCAAAATTACAAAGAATCAAAAGTTGAAGATACTAAAAATCATAAATATGGTGAATTCAAAGCAATCAAAGATCAAATATCAAAGAAGTGAAGAATTCCAAGAGCTCCATTATGGTATCTAAAGTTGTAATTTCTAGATTATGTATACTTAGGCTGCTTAACCAAAATTATCTTGAGGTTAAAAAGCTTTATGAGGATGGATTCAGAGGGTTGCATAAAATGAGCATTGTTCGGAAGAAGTGGGTAATTGTTTATGAAGATTGTGAGTATTTAAAGTATGGGGGTACTTTAGGAAAAATTTAGACACAAATGCATGCGTTGAGGTCTTGGCATAATGGTTGAGCTGGAATTGGATTGTTCTATGAAATGCTAGTTATGGAAGTTTGAGTTTAAATAAGTAGATTTGCTTGAGGGCAAGCAAAGCCTAAGTGTGGGGTATTTTGATATTGCCATATTTATACATATTTTTAGGCAATATTTAAGTGCATTTTTAAATATATTGTGGTCATTTTCATAGAATAATGATACTTATAAGGTTAAATTATATTTTGTAGCCAAAAAGTAGGCATTTTGAAGAAAGGGACTAAAAGCGTTAATTGATGGAACTTTGGAGGTTGAAGGCTTGAAAGATAATAATGATACATATAAGGTTAAATTATATTTTGCAGCCAAAAAGAAGGCATTTTGAAGAAAGGGACTAATAGTGTTAATTGATGGAACTTTGGAGGTTGAAGGCTTGAAAGAGAAGAAAAACACCCAAAAAAGATGTACTCACGACGTGAACAGTTAATGGTTCATGACGTGAGTATAAAAAGTTAAAAGATAAGCATCTGGGGAGAGGAATCCTTGACGATCACGATAACTTCGAGTTCACGACGTGAGTTTTAAATTCTCATGACGTGAAAGGTGATTTTAGAGAGAATATATATATATATATATATATCCTTCTCCATACGATTAAAAAAACTTTTGGCTAAAGGAAGAGGTTCGAGGAAGCGATTTATAACAGAAGAAAGGTCCTGGAAAAGGGTTTTCAACACCAAAAGAGTAAAATTTCATAACTTGTTTACTTGTTTAATACTTATGAACATGTTTTCTTATTTAAATTGTGTTTATGTGTTAGTTGCTACTATGAGCAGCTGAATCTAGCTACTCTTATCTAGCTAGATGAAGCTTCTAACTTATGAATAGCATAATTTTATATAGATTTATTTAGTTGGTGAATTGCTTGTGTTTGATTTATTATTACCTAGCATGCTTATGTTATTACTTTAAGTTGCCTTAATTCATGTTGTGTGTAGCATAGTGACCATTAATTGCATGAACGTGATAACCTAGTAATTTAGTGAACATTGAATTGCTAGAGCTAGGATCAACTGTAATCTTAGTTAGGAATTGAAGTAATTAACCTTGCTATGCTAGAGAGAATAAATGATGACCATAATTGTGTTTGGATGATAAATCTTACATAGCAAATTCATAACATAATTGGTTATATGTTTAATTATGTGTAACCATACATAGTTATACATGAATCAATTAACTATTGGTAAATTTAGACCAAAATTACTAATATAATAACAACCAACTTAATAATCCATAATCACTAACTAGCCATAAGGACGAAGTGGATTCGAACTAGATAGAAGTGTTTTTAATTATTGATTGAATTTGAGTTAATTTAGTCTGATCTTGCAAAATCTGATAACCCCCCCCCCCCTCCCCCTTTTAGCTAGATAATAATTAGATTAATTTAGTATTAAATAGATTAATTAATAACACTATTCCCTGTGATCGACACCCGACTTACCTAAGCTAAATTTGTAATCTGACTATGCACACTGCCTACAAGTGTATAGTTAGTCTAAGTTTGTTACGTTAGAAATATTAAAATTAGTGGGCACTTCCGTGCACATCAATGGCCCAAAGGAGTTTACAGCCATAAACTCATGGTCATTATGCATTTGAGAGTTGTTTAAGGTCTTATTTCCATCAAGGAAAGGTTCTACATCAAAGATTTGTTGGTTGGAAGAGTTTAAGGCCCAAACATGCCATAACATGGAGTTTACGGCCAAGGAAGATCTTGGGTTGTAAACTCATGATCTTCATGGGAAAAGGCAAGTTTCAAAGTTGTAATTCGAGGTCTCCTACTAGATATGAAGTGTAGGGAAGAATACTTACGATATAGAGGCTTGAAATGGTTGATTTTAGCCAAGAACACTAGTGTGTGTTTTTGGTGTTCTCCGTGAAACTTGAAGATATGGAAAATGGAATGATTTCATGGATTGATACTAGATAATGAGATGTATCAACAAATCAAGGAAGAATACTTACAAATTTTGAAGATCTAAGATGAAACGTTGGATGATACTTGAGAGAGAATGGAGAAAACACGGCCAAGGAAGGAACGAATGGAAGAAATGGCCAAGACTTATATATATATATATATATATATATATATATATATATATATATATATATATATATATATATATATAAGGGTGAGTATTCGGCCTAGGTTGAGTTTACGGAAGTATACTCCATGTTTACGGTCATAAACTCCACATGTTGGAGTTTAGGGCTTGAATCTTGTAGTATGGCTTTTAGCAGACATATTCCAACATTTATTCCTTAACTGTACTAGGCTCAGAACACTCAAACATACTCAAAATTGTGCTAAATGATAGCAGGAGTGAGTCTAACACTGAATTGAGTTAACTATCTGAGCTTTTAAAGAAAAAAAATTTCTGCTTGTCACATGTCTGAAGTTCGTACCTCCTCATGAAAAGACTTGGCAGATGAATCTTCGGATGGTATAACTATTGTTTCCTCTGCATTCGAACTTTCCTTGCGAAGATTGGATTTAGGTGTTTCAGGAATTCATTCATCGTCATCTTAAGTAGATCCAGTTGTAATAATGAGCTTGCGTGTTTTCTTCTTCTCCCTTTCAGAAATTTGTTTGGCCATATCCTCAGCTAATCTCTTCTTGGATAATGGAGAAACTGGAGCTCGTACTTCACGAAAAATGACCCCCTAATGAGCAAGATGCGACTTTCGTACCACATTAAGTGTTGGAGTCCTTCGTTTATGTTTAGATTTCATCTTTATCCTATGAAATACACCAATCTTCGAAAGAATAACAATTTTCTCTAGAGTTTCGTCAGTAACAGGCTCTATTGGAATAGTTTCTTCAATAGACATTGTTCTTACCACTGGCACTTGAACTTCAGTAGTCTTCTTCTTCGGAGATTTCTTTGGTTTGGATTCAATAACAACTTGTGCTAAAGGACCAGACTCATTCTTCTTCGAACGGTTGGATTTCTTATCTTCCTTTGGTAACAAGATCCCAGTTGGAACATTTGGATCAATATTCTTCAAGTAGGCCACCAAAATTGCATTTGAAGGATCAACATGTCATAACATCGCATCCGGAATATGAGCAACAAATGGAAACATTGTTGCATCATCTGTCATGTTCTTTGGATAATTGTAAGTATAAAACTCAGCCTTCTCTTCATCAGTAT